GAGCCATACCAGCTGGGCTATTTGTTTATTTTGTTCTTTGGATTCCACATATGTATAAGTGAAATCATGTGGTATTTGTCTTTCTCTGTCTGACTTATTTCACTTAGCATAATATCCTCTAGGTCCATTCATGCTGTCACAAATGGTAAGATTTCATTCTTTTTTATGGCCGAGTAATATTCCATTGTATACATGTACCACCCCTTTTTTTATCCACTCATTTATTGTTGGGCACTTGGGTTGCTTCCATGTCTTGACTATTGCAAATAATGCTGCAATGAACACAGGAGTGCATATATTCTTTCAAATTAGTGTTTTGGGTTTCTTCAGATATATACCCAGAAGTGGAATCACTGGGTCAAAAGGCAGTCCCATTTTTAATTTTTTGAGGAACCTCCATACTGTTTTCCATAGTGGTTGCACCAATTTGCATTCCCACTAATAGTGCACTAGGATTCTCTTTTCTCCACATCCTTGCCAACACTTGTTGTTTGTTTGTTTGTTTGTTTACTTATTCTTTATTGATTTTAGAGAGAGAGGAAGGGAGAGGAAGAGAGAGATAGAAACATCAATGAGAGAGAACATCGATTGGAAGACTCCTGCATGCCCCACACTGGGGATTTGGCCCACAACCTGGGCATGTGCCCTGACCAGGAATCGAACAGGCGACCTCTTGGTGTATGAGTCGATGCTCAACCACTGAGCCACACTGGCCGGGCTTGTTTGTTGATGTATTGATGATGGCCATTCTGAAAGGTGTGAGGTGACCTCTCATTGTGGTTTTAATTTGCCTTTCTCCGATGATTAGTGATGTGGAGCATCTTTTCATATGTCTGTTGGGTGGAGAAGTGTCTATTCAGGTCCTCTGCCCACTTTTTCATTGGATTGTTTTTTTAGTGTTGAGTTGTATGAGTTCTATAGTAACCCCTTATCAGATGTATCATTGGTGAGTACCTTAAGGAGACTCACATTATAAATAACGGGCATAACTCATTTATATGCCCTTGCATTTCACCAGGTCCATACTGCATGCTGATGCAGAATCCCAGCAACCTCCAGTTTACAGATGAGGAAACAGGCTCAGACAGGCTTCATGACCTGACCGGTGTGGCTCAGTGGTTGGGCATTGACCCATGCACCAAGTGGTCGCCAGTTTGATTCCTGATCAGGGCACATGCCCAGGTTGTGGGGGGCATGCAGGAGGCAGCCAATTGATGTTCTCTCTCATCAATGTTTCTCTCTCTCTCAGATCAATAAAGAAAAAATTTTTTTTAATTAAAAAAAGTCTCCATGCATGAACCTATATCCCAATGTAGGCATCCATGAAGTTTGCATATTTATGTGTTCTCAATTCATCACCAAGTTCTGTCAAATATTACCCCTTAAGTATCTCTCCAATCTGTTCCCTTCTGACTATCAACGACACTACCTCTCCTAGGCAAGTCCTATAGTGATGGCCTCTTAATTGGTCTTCTCTGGCCCTCTGCATCCTCTGATCCTCTCTCTATTCAACTACCAGGGTGATCTTTAAATCTGAACAAGTCAGCCTGCCCAACAACCATTGCTTAAGATTTTGTAGTGATTCCCAGTGCTCTTAGGATACTGACGCAAAACTCCTTAATATGATTCACTGGGCCCTATTAAGACGAGTCCACACCTTCTGCTCTTGGCTCCCCTCCTCTCTGTTCCAAGCCCTTAGACTCTCTTAGTCTTTGTACTCATCATCTCCTTCCTGCCACAGGGGCTTTGCATATGCTCTGCCTTCTGCCAGATCCACTCCTGCTGGCCCCTGTGCCTGGTTAACTCCTACTCATCCTACAGATTTAAGTTCAAATGTTATTACTCACTAGGTCATATCCTTACTAAACATTCTTATAGCACTTCTGACTTTTTCATTAGGTCACTAAATATAGTTGCAGTTTTACATTTATTTGATTAACTGATTAATGTTTGTTTATTTTCACACTAGATGGTAAGTTCTATGAAGTTAGGGACTGTGTCTCTTTTGGATCAGCAGTCCCTGGTTCTGAGCATAATATTTGGCCTACTAGAGGAACTCATAAAATTTTTGTTAAATGAATGAGTTAATGAGTGACAAAAACTACTGACTCTTCTGACCTGGTTTCTTTTCCTGAAAGGGCTCTCAAATCCTTCAGCAGACAAGAAACAGAAGAGGGAAGGGACTATCATAATAATGTCTGCCCATCACAGAGTGTCAAAGTAACAGGAGAGTTTACAGGATCCATTTTGCAAACCTCCCTACCCCTGCTAATTTTCACCCTCTTCCAAAGAGGGCCAGGAAGAAGTCACGGCGAGGTCCCAGGGCCAGCCTTTCCCGGACAGAGCCTCACCAGGAAGGCAGGGAGAATGGAAAGTGAAGGAAGGAAGGGAATGGATGTCTACTAAGAAAGGACTCTGTTTTGGACACCATGCTAAATGTTTACATCCATCATCTCATTTAATCCTCCCCAATCCCACTTTGCAGATGAGAAAACAGACTTAAAAAGCTTGTGAAACCAATGCAGGGCAAAGCTGAGTTTGAACTCAGATCTGTCAGTCTTTCTCCAGAGCCTTGGCTTTTCCAGGCTACCAACCTGGCTTCCAGCCCTCGAACACCTGCCACCCTGTTAACTTAAGGCCCTGTTGGCCTTTGTCTAAAGCTGTGGGTTTTTTTTGGTACGTGCCCCTGGCGGGAACCGAACCCGGGACTCTCTGGTCCGCAGGCCGACGCTCAACCGCTGAGCCAAATGGGCCAGGGCTAAAGCTGTTTTTTAGGAGTCAGTGTGTATGATGGTTGAAGTCAATACATTGGAAACAGAAATTCAACATAAAGGCAACTGATACCAGACCTACAAGGAAATATATAAACAAAAATTGAAATGTGGAAAGTAAAGGAGATGGAGTTAGTGTGAGAGAGTTCATTTCTCATCCTTCATATTGAGGCGATAAGAGATACTGTCTAAAATACATTTATGAGCCCTGGGCGGTTTGGCTCAGCGATTAGAGTGTCAGCCTGCGGTCCGTAGAGACCGGGGTTTGGTTCCCGCTAAGGGCATGTACCTTGGCTGCAGTTTGTCCCTGGCCCTGGTTGGGTCGTGCGGGTGGTGGCCACTCGATGTGTCCCTTTCATGTTGATGTTTCTCTCTCTTCCTCTCTCTCTCTCCCGTTCTATCTGAATAAAATATGGAAAAATGTCCTCAGGTGAGGATAAAAAAAATATAATAAAATACATTAATACATTTATGATATTACATACAAGGATATTGGTGATCACAGGAGAACTAAAAACAAGCTGTTGGTGGGGGTTGCCTCTGGGGAATGGAGCTGGGGAAAGAAGAGAAACTTTCATTTTCATTTGTTTGTCCTTTTTTAAAATATATATTTTTTCTTTATTGATACAGAGAGAGAGGAAGGGAGATGAAGAGAGAGATAGAAACATTGATAAGAGGGAACATCGATTGGCCGCCTCCTGCATGCTCCCCACTGGGGATTTGGCCCACAACCTGGGCATGTGCCCTGACTGGGAATCAAACCAGCAACCTCTTGGTGCATGGGTCAATGCTCAACCAGTGAGCCAAACCAGCTGGGCCATTTGTTTGTCATTCTGAGCTATTCACTTAAAAAAAAAAAATAGCCCTTACCGGGTAGCTCAGTTGGTTAGAACACTGACTCTATATGCTAAGGTTGTGAGTTCGATCCCCAGTCAGGGCACATATAAGAATCAACCAATGAATACATAAATAAGCAGAACAACAAATCAATGTTTTTCTCTCCCTTCCTCTCTCTAAAAAGCAATTTAAAAAAATTAGAGGTCTGTAACTTTTCTAAAAAGTTTAGAAATGTTTGTTACAAAGGACTAAACAAACAAAAATACCATTCCTTAAGAATGTAAGCATGTCTTGCCCTGGCCGGTTTGGCTCAGCAGTTAGAGTGTCAGCCTGTGGTCCACAGAGACCAGAGTTCGGTTCCCGCTAAGGGCATGTACCTTGGCTGAGGTTTGTCCCCGGCCCTGGTTGGGTCGTGTGGGTGGCAGCCACTCGATGTGTCGATATTTCTCTCTCTCTCTTCCTCTCTCTCCCTCCTGCTCTGTCTGAATAAAAAATAAAAAATGTCCTAGGATGAGGATAAAAAAATAATAATAAAATAAAATAAAAAAGAATGTAAGCATGTCTAGAAGTAATAGTCCTTGGCACCTGGGTAAAAATTAGTCTGCAGGTTTCCTTTGTGTCAGCAAGAACCTGAGTGGGGAGAGTCATGTGATGAAAAACATGGCTTCCTAAGCAGTTGCTTCTGGGGAAAGGAAATTGGAGACGAGTTTGATAAACTTGCCTTTCCAAGCACATAGGGCCAGGCTAATGCAGGAGCACCCTTTCCCTCACGTATTCCTAAAGGGAGCTCACATTCAGACACAACCAGATACAAGAGGGCACTGACACCATGAGGACCACAGATAACTACCCCTCTAACTATCCCTGGCCAGACTGCTCCCAGCACTGCCACACTCTGAGCAGCCAGGGACACTGCTCCTGCAGGATCCGTCTGACTTCAGGTAGATCTAGTCACAGGGAGGTGGAATGCAGAGGACTCTCTGACGACTGTTACTCTGGTCCTGTTCAGAGCTGGTCATAGAACCCAGATCATAGCCCTGCACCCTCAGCACCCAAGGGCCCCTTCCTCCTCCCGAGGCATGGCACCCTCTTGACCTTTGCTCATTTGCAGTTTATGTCACTTTGGCCCTCAAGAGCTGCCAAAAGGCAGGCTGGGGCACCATTCAGCTCAGGAGTGCCACTCACTGGCAGCCGGGAACCAAGAGCCTGACATTTCTAGTACCAGACAAAGGACTGTTGATCTTTGACCCCTGCCCCTCCCAGAGCCTTGGCCCTCCCTCCCTCTCACCTTTCTTCCCTGCTGGCCTCTCCTGTTTTCTCTCTGCTCACTTCCCTGGTACCTTTGCTCTGAGTAGCAGTTTATCCCAGCTCCTTGGCCAGGCCAATTCTTCCATGCTGTCTTCAAGCCCTGCTTCCTGCACCTCTCCCAAGCCTGACAGGGAGAGCCCAAGTAAGAGGGTCCAATGGGCTTCTGGGAGAAGAAGGACGTCATCCACAGATTCAGAGTCCAAGTCCCACCCTGACCCCTCCAAAGTGTCCAGGTCCCGGAGACCAAGCCGGCTGACAGTGAAGTATGACCGGGGGCAGCTCCAGCGCTGGCTGGAGATGGAGCAGTGGGTGGATGCGAAGCTTCAGGAGCTCTTCCAGGTGGGTATCACGGGGGAGGGTGGGGAGACGTGGGGGCCTGAGGCCTGGCCAGGGGGCTAAGAGCCTGCTCTGAAACCTCAGGAGGAGCTGGAGGGCGGATGTGAGATGCTCTCATGAAGAGGAAGCATTTCCCAACAGGTGAAGCATGGGTTTGTAGCCCAGAAATCTGACCCCTCCGGTCTGGGCTCTGCCTCTAACTCCCTTCATAATTTGGGGCATCTGTTTTACCATCTCTGAGACTTGGTTTCCTAATCTAAAAACAGGGCTATACTGGCCGGTTTGGCTCAGCGGTTAGAGCGTCGGCCTGCGGTCCGGAGAGACCCGGGTTCGGTTCCCGCTAAGGGCACGTGCTTCGGTTGCAGTTTATCCCCGGCCCTGGTTGGTCGTGCGGGTGGCAGCCGCTCGATGTGTCCCTTCACGTCGATGTTTCTCTCTCTCTCTCCCTTCCTCTCTCTCCCTCCCTCTCTATCTGAACAAAAAAAAAAAATAAATAAATAAAATAAAAATAAATAAAAACAGGGCTATAAATGCCTATCAATAGCTCCTTTTGAGATTTTTTGATTCTCAAACGATATACTAGAATGGCTATTTTTCTTTCTTTTTTGTCTTTCTTTATCTTATCCTCAACACATACACATCTAAAGCTACACTGTCCAATGTAGATATCAGCCATGTGTATCTATTTAACAAATGAATGAAAATTAAATAAAATTTAAAGTTGAGTTTCTCAGTTACACTAGCCACATCTCAACTACCTAATAGCCCCATGTGGCCAGGAGCTACCATATTATCAACAGAGATATAGAACATTTTCATTGTTTCAGAATGGACAGAACGGGACCAAAACATCAGAGCAACCAGCACTAACAGCAGCAGCTGATCTAGCCTTGGCCCTGGCTCTAACTGATTACCCTCAATTTCACCCCGGGAAAAGGAGGGGTCTTGGCCCCTTTGTCATGGGAAATACTCAGATATCTCCAAACTGGGATCTTAGAGTGGTAGCAACCGCTGCTTTAACAAGAATAACATTTTGAGCACTTAAGCATGTGCTAGGCACAGTGCCAGCCTTTGACATGCATTATTTTATTCGGCCTCCCCACAACTCCGTAAGGTGGGTCCTGTTTCGCCATGGAGAAAATGGAGGCTTAGAGATGTTGAGTAACTAGCCCAAGGTCACACAACTAGGAAGCTGCGGTACCTGAGTGGTTCTCCACACACCTGAAGTGCTTCAGGAAAAAACCAATGCCCTGGCTGCTCATCAACAGACTTTAATGTAAATCTACTAGGGTGGGGCCCAGGGACTGTCTTTTTTATAAGCTCCACAGTTGACTCTAGTGTGAGGCCAGCAGAGAACCACTGCACAAGGAACTAGAAGTCCTCCTTGTCCACATACCATGGTCCTTGTTTCTCCTTTCTCTCAGGTCCTTTTTTTTTCTTCTCTTGAGGGCAGTAAGGGCCTGTGATTCTTTCAGGAAAGGGCTGTGCCAGCAGCCCCGTGGTTGGGGTGGGGATGAGTCATCCATGCGATCCAGGCTGTCTTATGAGGCTCATGTATCCGTTCGGTCCAGGTGTTAACTATGTCCCCTGCTGCGTCCTGGGGTCGGTGGGAGGTGTCCTGAAGCTGGGAGTGGGAGAGGCAGACTTTTTTGGCCTGTGTCTGCTCTGACCTTGCAGGACACCTCTACTGCCTGTCAGCACTGCCAGCACCTTCCCTCTCTGGGTCAGTTTTGATTTCAGATTGTTGTGCACTTACATGAAAAGTCTCATATTTCGGACACCGCAGGGGCAGTCCTTCCAGGCATTAAAGAAAGACACTAGCCAAATCTTGTGCAAGATTAAGGGAAGGGGGAAAGCTGTACAATAATGAGCTCGTAACATTTCAAACAGGACATGTTCGAGGACTGCTCCCAGGCAATGACCAAAATAAAACACCTGGCCTGCAGTTGCCATGGCAATTGTCCAAAGGTGCCAGGTGGCAGTTCCTCTCCCAATCCCTACTATTTTCAGCAGGAAGCTGCCAAGTGACTGGGGAAGCCCCAAGTGACTGATTACCTTGGGCAGAGACTGAAGCAACAGAGGCTCCAGGCTTACCCTACCCCAGTTCTAACTTCACGGAGCCCCTCACCCCCACGAGGGCTCTCCCCTGCATGTCCTTAAATGGCACGACTGGAAATCGTTCCAGGGATGCATCACTACTTGTTTAGTTTTTTTAATAGGACCCAAACTTTCTTTGTTGGAGGTCCCACCTCTTCCCACTGGGTGTACAGCCTGCTTTGGGGTCTTCAGAGGAAGCAGATTTTGGTCCCTAGAGTTTCTGTTGTCCAGAGGGGCAATGTGGATTTGGCTACTAAGCAGGGACTTAAACATTCATAAATTTCTCCTATTTTAAAAAGACTCTTGCTGCTCGGCCAGTGTGGCTCAGTGGTTGAGCATCAAGTCATGCACCAAGAGGTCGCTGGTTCAATTCCGAGTCAGGGCACATGCCCAGGTTGTGGGCCTGATCCCAGTGGGGAACATGCAGGAGGTGGCCAATTGATGTTCTCTCTAATCGATGTTTCTCTCCCTCTCCCTTCCTCTCTCTCTAAAATCAATAAAGAAAAAAATTAAAAATAAATAAAAATAAAAAGACTCTTGCTTGTTCTGGCCAGTCTGGCTCAGTGATAGAGCATTGGCCCAATGAGTCGTGGATTTGATTCTGGTCAAGAGCACATACCTTGGTTGTGGTTCGTCCCCAGCCCTGGTTGGGTCATGTGGGAGGCAACCAGTCCATGTGGTTCTATCACATCAATGTTTCTCTCTGTCTCTCTCTCTCCTTCCCTCCCACTCTGTCTGATGATAAATAGAAAAATATCCTCCCGTGAGGAATAAAAAAGATAAAATAAAATAAAGACTCTCGCTCAACAATGTGCCTCCCTCTAAATACCATCCCATATTTCATGTCTCCTTTACAATAAGACTACTTAAAGGATTTCTCCACACTCACATCTTTTATTTATCTTTCTGCTTCCTATCACCATTCAAACCGTCAAATTCTGGCTTCTGTTCCTAACGCTCGATTGAGAGCTCTTGCCAAGGTCACCAATCACTGCCTTGGACTAAATCTAATGTACACAGCAGGGGTCACTGTTGACCACCCCAGATTTTCGAAACATTCTTTTCCCGTGGATTTCATGACACTATCTTTTCCTGGTTTCAGCTAGTATTTTGATGCAGCCCTTTTAACGTCGTGAGATTTGAAAAAACAATCTATTTACCTTTCAACTTAAAAAAAGTATTGTCAATGAATTTGTGAAACAAACATTGTTAGCTCATCTCTGAGCCTTACTCCATTGCTGGTCCCATGGGCGAGAGATCAGGAGTAAGGGGGACTGAGCGGAGATGGAGGTGAGAAATGGGTCAAATACGGCAGCATCTGGCAGGATACCACTACACATAATATAAAGTCACAAGAGTACCACATTTGTTCATCTCAGCAGGAATTGTTTGATATATCTGCTCATTTTCTGAGAATTCAAAACACACACATACACACAAAAAACAGAAAGAATGTCTGCATTTTGATAGCAGCCCATTTCTCAACTCCAGACTGCAGTGGCAGTCTGACCCTAGGTAATGTACGTACCTTATATTCAATATGTATATAGCTAACATCACAAGTTATATAAAAATGTTTTGCGGGGGGGGGGGGGGGGCTAGCCAGGAGGCTGTTTGTTGGAGCATCATCCCCTACACCAAAGAGCTGTAGGTTCGATTCCCAGTCAGGGCACATACCTAGGATGCAGGTTCTATCCCTGATCAGGGCAGTTACATGTGTTTCTCTCTCACACAGATGTTCCTCTCTTTCTCTCCCTTCCTCCCTCTCTAAAATAATAAACATATCCTCAGGTGAGGATTTTTTTAAAATGGTGTCTTTTGGCTGCACTAATACTTTTTAGAGGCAGAATTCTAATCAGTAGAATATATCTTTTTTTTTATCCTCATTCGAGGACATTTTTACATTTTTTGTACAGACAGAGTGGGAGGGAGAGAGAGGAAGAGAGAGAGAGGGAAACATCGATGTGAAAGGGACACATCAAGTGGCTGCCACCCGCACGACTAACCAGGACCGGGGACAAACTGCAACCAGGGTACGTGCCCTTAGCGGGAACCGAACCCGGGTCTCTCCGGACCGCAGGTGGACACTCTAACCGCAGTGCCAAACCGGCCAGGGCTAATCAGTAGAATATATCTTTATTCTATATAATAATATCACCCTCCAACTTCTGGGATTTCAATTACATGTATGTACACCACTTAATATCATTCCACAGGTCACCAAAGCTCTGTTCTGTACCCTTTCCCCTCCATCCAGGTTTCTTTCTTTCTGTGCTTCATTTTGACTAGTTTCTTTTGCTATATTTTCCAGTTCAATTGATCCTTTTTTTTCTGCAAGTATGCTGTTAATTCCATCCAGTGAAATTTTCATCTAAAATATTGTAATTTTCTTCTCTAGAAGTTTGGTTCTTTCTCTTATCTTCCATTTTCATCATTACTATGTTTATGTTTCCCTTGTCTGCTTGTTCCATCACCTCTGTCATTTCTGGGTCTGATTATATTAATTGATTTTTCTCCTAGTTTTATAGGTTATCCTTTCTTTCTTTCTTCCTTTCTTTCTTTCTCCTCACTTGAGGATATTTTTTATTTATTTATTTATTTATTTATCTTTTCTTTTCTTTTCTTTTTTTTTTTATCCTCAACCTGAGGACATTTTTTTATTTTTTGTTCAGATAGAGTGGGAAGGCGGGGGGGGGAGAGAGAGAGAGATTGACGTGAAAGGGACACATGGAGTAGCTGCCTCCTGCATGACCCAACCAGGGCCAGGGACAAACTGCAACCGAGGTACGTGCCCTCAACAGGAACCGAACCCGGGTCTCTCTGGACCGCAGGCCGAGGCTCTAACCGCTGAGCCAAACCGGCCGGGGCTTGAGGATATTTTTCCATTGATTTTTAGATAGAGTGGA